AGTCGCCTGATGGCGCTGCTTTGCTCTTCCACCGTGTATGCGCATGTACAGTATAGGCCGTCAGTCTGCAGCTGCGCCTAGAGCGAACGCAGTTCGAAGGTCCTTGGAGCAATGAAGAATGCCTATGCTTGCTACAGGGAGCTTTACTATGAAAAGAAGGAGGCGTCTTCAGTCCAAACATCATTGGACTCGTATTTTAAGAAGCCTCAGCCAGTGCAGCCCATGCAGAAAAGTACTTAAGGATTTTCAAACGTAAGCGTTTCTTTTTACTCAATAAATGTTTGTAAAAGAGTTATGCTGAGTTACAATAAATGTTCGTTAAGGGTTATTTTCATTTATTTTCGTGGTCAATTTTGGTATTTTAATCGCATGTAATGGGTTTCCAGGAACGTAACCCCAAGGTATAACATTGCGCCAATGGGAAACGAGGATTCGACTTACGACGGCCTCGATTTGCGACCGTCTGTCCAGGAACCAATTAGGTCTTAGGTGCGGGGGGGGGTCACCTGTAATCAGGAGGTTGTGCTGAGGTTTGGCAGATTTGTCATACGAGAGGACAGCACATTTCTTTATCGGGCAATAAAATGGGCACCTAGAGGTCAGCAACCAAGGGAAACGCCAAAGATAGATGGTGGGATACCAGGCAACAGCTATTTCATCGAATCTCTTTCATAGTTGATCCGACAACCACGTCAAGAGTATCGAGGCATCGAGGGTTAATCACCGTATCGATTCACTGGCAATCCACGAACAGAGTAATCCCATCATCGCGGAATGTGTGTTAACGGCAGATGGCGGTCAATCTTACACAAGCTCCGATCGAATGCATTGGTGAGTACGTAACTTATTGTGCTTTGTATGTCATCATTAAAATGTATTTTTTTTATTTATAAAATACTTTAACACATTTATCATGTGTATAGTACTCCAACGAAGCCCTCATATATCGCTCATCGGTAGAAAAAAAGCGGTTGGGAACGCAAATCCATTGGAACCATGTCATAATTACCTACTATAGTGCTGTTCATATTGTGCTCCATTTACCGCTGTAGGTATGCCTGTTTCATGTACTGTACTAACAAGTCAATTCTACTGTACTCCTACAAGGCAGTGGTGGGGGAGCTCCTGTTGCTCCCAATCCGGATAATTTTTTTTGTGTTTAGTTTCATATCATCCACACCTCCGATGAGCACGGTCGGCTACATACGTTGCAAAAGAAGTTCAACATGCATACGTGCAAGAGCTCCAGGACCTCCGCGATCTTGGTGATGCCCTCAGTTAACATTTACGTGAAGTTTCTAATAGGCGGAGCCTGAGACTACATCCTGGTCTTTTGAGTTGTCAGCGAGCTAAAGAAATCGATTTAAAAAATGTTTTTAACCGTGACTACAAATCGTGATAATGAATCAAATTGCACGAGGTGGGCTCTGGTTGGCTCAGTGTAAGTCGCTCTCATTGGCTGAGCAAATGATGAGGGCGGGTACATTGTCGGTCGGCCTGTGTTCTCCAGGGTGTGCCTGTGATGACATTTATTACTTTTTACACGCTTTCTTTTAACTCACTGTCTGTTGTTGTTGTATCCTCAAATCTTGTAACGCAATTTTAACCCACTTCCCAATGTGGTATCGACTGCAAACTCGGTATACTTATGTCATACTGATGAAAATACTAAATACTATCATTAAAAATAAATATTTGTAAACCATCTTTTTGTTATGCTTCGGCTTGGGTCTAATTGTCCACGCTCAACTGACGTTGGCTGTAATTGGTCACGGCCCCCTTACGTTGTGGCAAGCTTCGGGGCCACTTCCTGGAGTCGTGGAGTTCTGCCATTATTAGTACACGGTACATTTCACAAAAGTGTGTTTAAAAAAAATTATTTTTAAAATATTACTTATTTTAAACAAAAACCCTCCACTACCTGACAAAGCCGATCAAATGTGGGCAAATACGCCAATTGATTTGGTTTATCAGCAAAAGTGAAATGTTAAAAAGCAAGCAAAATCTTGGGACATTTTTAATACGATGTTTTGTTGGAAATTACATGCATCATGAGGCATTAACAAAAGCGCAGCTCTCAATGAGGTTCGTGTAAACATAATTGGTGTACAACCATTAAGAGTAGAACACAAATGCAGCTCTCCACCCTCAATCTCACCTCGACCTTCCTGTTCCTTGTCCATATATTGGTGCTGAGCTCCCATGGACTTAAAATCCAATCTCAAGAAGAAATCTACATTGGGCCCTGTTCATCGATACAATCCTTATATAGAAAAACAAATCTGCACTATACTTAGCTATTCTAGATTTGAAGCTTTCGTGACTGCAAGGATCCATACTCTTTGGTTCTATTCGGTAAAGTCACGTAGGTAAAAAAAAATAAAAACAACAAAAATCACGACGCTTCGGCCACAACACAAGTGGCCTTCATCAGGTGAAGGAAACCGGACTGTCCAGAGGACAGCGTTGGAGTGAAGACAGCCAAGCCCAGGTCGCGTCCTTTAATGTGTGAGGGAGGAAACAAAAAACGCCTTGACAAAGGAATTAGCATAAAATAATGTACTACTGTGAAAGTTTGGGATACCACTACTTGAATAAATATACTGTACCATTGAAAATTAGTTTAATGTTTGGTTCGATTTAGAACATCTTTCCAATGATTGCTTAATTTGAAACCATCCTCTCGGTTGAAATTGTGTCTGTGTAAATCTGAATTGCCTCGTGGACAAATCTCTGATAAAAACCCATGGGTTTGCAGAGAACCTTGGTATAGGAGAAAACTATATAGTGATCACCCACAGCGTTGTAACAGTGATCAGCTACGGCAGAAGAATTCGTTTTGCCGTGTTTCAAATCTGATTTGTGCTCGCGAATTCGGTCAGAGACATGTCGTTTCGTCTCCCCGATATAGCAGTCACCACAGGTGCAGATCAATTTGTAAACCCCGGGGTACTGTAAGTCAGGAATGACATCCTTCACGGAAGGGATCAGGTCACGGATTTTGTGTACTGTATTGAACAGGACCAGGATCTTGTGTTTGTTTAGAATTTTGGAGATCTTTTTAGTAACGCCTGCTATATATGGTAGTGTGATGGTTTTGATCGTAGTATCAAGTGGTTGTTTCTGTATGGAGGGAGAAAAAAAAATCCTTTGTCAAGGCGTTTTTGTTTCCTCCCTCACACATTAAAGGACGTGATCTGGGCTTAGCTGTCTTCACTCCAACGCTGTCCTCTGGACAGTCCGGTCCCTTCACCTGATGAAGGCCACTTGTAATGTGGCCGAAACGTCGTGATTTTTGTTGTTTTTATTTTTTACCCACGTGACTTTACCGAAAAGAACCAAAGAGTATACTTAGCTAATTCATTATCCCCATTGTCAAAGCCAAGAAACCAAAGGTGTTCATTTTAATAGGTAACAAAGCCTTTGCTTTAAAGCTTTCGTGACTGCAGGGATTCATATTCTTGGTTCTTTCGGCAAAGTCACATAGAAAGGAAACAGTAAAATATATAAAACAATAAAATTATCACGACGTTTCGACTGCAATACAAGCAATCATCATCAGGTGTGAAAACCACTGCACAAAAAAATTCAAATTTTTATTATTGCTGTGGTTTTCAAAAAAATTCAAATTTTTTCTTGCTGTGGTTTTCACACCTGATGATGATTGCTTGTGTTGCAATCGAAACGTCGTGAGAATTTTATTGTTTTATATTTTTATTATTTTATTGTTTCTCTTCTACGTGACTTTACCGAAAGAACAAAGAATATAAATCCTTTGCTGTTGCAGCACCAACATTTTGGAACCTTGTTTCCTCCCTTAACATCGCATATCTGCCTTCAAAAAAATATCCTGAAGCAGAATATTCGCGCTGGATACAGCCACATTTTGAAATGTGATTTGTAACTTTTGTCCTCACCGGAGAATGTATGTGTGCGCGTTGAACTTATTTCGCACCGTACGTAACTAACCGTGTTAATCGGAGGTGTCTATCGATAGTTTAATGTGACTGTGCCATTTTATTGAGGGACTACTACTATGTGGCGTTATCTTGGTGTGGTCTTGGACTGTTTTGTTGCTATTTTTTGCTGCTCTGCCTAAGCTTCATAAATCGGACTTAGATAATTTATTACTTACTAACTTCACTACCCGGCTTCGCGCGGGACTTGGATTCACCACGCCCGGCCGCCTTTGTCTCCCAAGTGTGCGATGTTCACACACCACACGAGTTACTCGTTTGAGGCTGAGTCGACCTAGGGGAGGCCCAGGACCGGTTCAAATAATCGTCACCGGTGGTGGCCGTGAGCGGGAATCGAACTCGGGTCGCCGGGTTCGTAGCGCAGCGCACGAATCGCTACACCACCGTTCCCCCCACACACACACGCGCACGCGTCCATAGGTACACATGCACGCACTTGCTGCAGACACACCACACAACTTTCAGGGTGCGTACGGCGGTAAACGACTGAAATAATAAAGCAATGCTGCGCGAAGAACGCCTTAGACCCGCAACACATTTGTATTTCACTTTACCCCCGGAGGGTTGGGGGGGGGACATCAGCAGGCACACTCTTTTACGCTTCCGCATACGGGTCACATGACAGATGTGACGTCACAGCTCACTTGCCGTGCACAATATATCCATTATTGCGCACCCCCCCCGCCAAAAAAAAAACTACAAAAGTGTATTTCTCTGAATTTTTGCATGGTGTAAAGTCTGGAAAGTACCCACATGGCAAATTTCAAGTTTGTTGCATGTCGGGAAGTACGCTAAACATTTTATATATATACATAGATTTCTATTTAATGACTTGCTTACCTTTTTGTCTATTTGTATAGTTTGCTGTTGTAACGGTGCTGGCCCGCCACATACTGGGCATCTGCGAAAGAGAGCTTAATAGCGCATCGGATTCCGCCAGTCTAAAGAAAGATTCTGACCCCATTGAGCGGACTTCATCTCAAGGGGCACTCCTGTGGGTGTGCGTTTCGTTTGCGCGTTTACCATAATGCCTGTGAGTAGACAGACGCCCCGTCCACAGTAGGTGTGTGGCACCATGTCGCCGTAGCCAATGGTGAGGAACGTTATCGAGATGAGCCACATGGCCGCCAGGAAATTGCTTGTTATGTCTTGGGGGTCATGATACCTGCAAAAGAAAACATCATGAATATTCATAACCCAGCTGTTCACGGAAGTAGAAACCTTTTGCTTTAGTTTAAGAGGAAGTGGAAAAAAACGATAAATACTATGCTGTTTATCAAGGATTTAAAATGTACAAGCCTTGCTGTTATACTTGGCCTTAAAACTACAAAAACATAAAGATACACTTCTCATTAGAGGGATTGTTATTAAATAAGATTTACATGTAATGATTGCACATTTGGTTGTTCAGCTGTGGCACAACACAACAGTAGTAAAAAAACGAATTCAATGTTCATTTGCATTTTAAAGTATTACCAGTAACGCTATTAGGTGATACAACAGACATTTCACAAGGATATTTTGATAAAACTAGCCACAGTGCTGATTATTTCTTCAAACAACGGCAGGGTACGAGTTTCTGGTTTTGGAGATAGTTTTACCAGTGGTCATTTCATTTAAAAAAAAACCCACACTGATTTATGAGCACATCCTGGTGCCATTTTTGCTGGGAAAATGAATGGTAGACACCAATCCACTCCACAAACGGCAGCTAGGCAATCCCAAATGAGAGCAGACCACATTCTTCCACAGAATTGTAATGCAACGACATAATCCCTGCACCACATAAAGGGCACGAGAGATCCAGGCCCCGATTTGCCCAACATAAAACATGCACAGACATGGGCACGTGTGCGGTTCAATGGCTCCACCACATTGGAGTTGTCTCCAATGTGGTGGAGTCATTCTATAAAGTGCTCTGATAGCCTCACATGACTGCTCAATTCTGAAACTTGTGAAGGTGGTTCAGAGCCACAGCCGCAAAGGGCAACTGTACACCTGTGTTTCTGTGTGCATCTATAAAGTCAAGGTTAAGAGGTCAACACAACGAAGAGTGAACACCACACCTCCCAATCTCACATATGCCCGATACTGTAGCTGTTATACTAAACTAAGCCATTAAAAAACTAAACTGCTGTATTTTTATTTTACCAGGCGAGGCCCACTGAGCTCTGCCGCTATTTTTCAGACGCGATCTGGCCACAAATTACTTGCTCGAAAGAAGTGGCTTGTTACGTGGAAATTTATAGCAGTCAAATACTGTCAACGAATGTTTCTAAATGTGGAGGGAAAAACCGGAGGACCCAGAGAAAAATCCATGCGACCACGGGGAGAGCACGCAAACTCCAAATATTCAGGCAAACTCCAAATATGCAGGCGTCAGGGTCGGGATCGAGCCCACGATCTCCTGCATAGTTGATAATTGTTTTTTTTACCCTTTTATCTGGCAACAAAACTGACACCTTTTTTTACAAGGAGTCATGTTTACATTGACCACAATACCTGCGGTCGGAACGCAAACAAAAAACTCTGATAATGTATGCACTGTCCTTGAAATTGATTGGTCCACACCCGAAACAGCTTTCTTTAGAGCCTCGTCTCACATGGTGTTGGACCAGAAGACGCCAAAAGGCGCACAACTCCAAGGCAATGCACCATCAGAGTATGAGAGCTCGGGGTAAGCATTTTCCTGTATAGTTTCTGTATACCAGGTGAGGTCGGTAACGTCACCACAGCGACACCCACATTTGGCACGCGCGCACATATACATGCAGAGCATTCTGCAGAACCTTATCGGCTGTTTGTGCATGATAGATACTTTCAGAGCAGTGGACCAGTGGTCAGCAGTCTGAGTTCGATTTTCAGTCACCATTTGCAGAGGCAAGTGGCATATGAACCTGTTAATGGGTAAGAAAGATTGCATCACTCTCGCAATGCCCCAGCTCTGCCCTAATCCCACCCCACTTTGAGCCATTCTGCCATCGCAGAACGAGGAGCAATGGCAATGGGCTCCTCCTGTCAGTGCGTAATCAGCAACTGAAAGAGAAGGTGGAATAGGGCCAATTTACCACAAAAATTACTGCAGTATTGCAAAAAACGAGGTGGACTAAGAGCTAAAAACGATCCATGAACTGGGGCCCACGCATGTTTATTGGCCTCACAATCCACTTGGTTATGCATATTGCTATTGAAGGACAAAGACTTCTGCTACCATAACATTCTTACTTTTATTCCACTGGCACAAAAATAAAATAAGCGGGAACTTTCTCAAAAGTAGTCATCAACTTCGTGTTTGGCAAGCTAATTTTATTAAAGTCAAAAATAGGTCTACAATTTTTGTAAGGAACTTTCTTAAAAAAATACTTTTCAATAACTCAAATGCTCAAACAGGCCAATCATATATGCTCTATATTGTCTGGAATGTAATCACAATATCGACATCCACATGTCCTTTCTCTCCAGACATATAAGCTTGCTTAAAGTCTAAATTTTATTTGCATAATACTGCCTTGTGATTGTACCTCCTTTCAATACATAAATAATATATAATCCATCAGGATAACTTGATCTGCATCCTAAAAAACCTGATGCCTTCACTGTTGTGAGGACTGGCCCATGATTTTACCATTGAATACTCTGAGAGTTGGTTGCCAAATCTAAATAATGGAGTCATATTTCATCCATTTCTACAAATTTGGTGTAAATGTTTATTTTGTTTAATTGGTTACTGATCTGAATCGTCAACATTTTTACCACGCTTCTTGCAAACACCTTTTTTTTATCCCCAAAGTATTGGTCAACAGGCATGCACTATACATATTGATGGGCCAACAATCTCAGAAATCTCTACTTTATGGGCAAGTGACATTTGTGAGCTTAACTGACGTCTGCGTTTGTAACTGATATTTGAGGACATTTAGACTGCACATCTCCTCCACAAGTCTCTCTTCCACATTTCAATTCAGTCCACAACTTCTTAAACATGAAATATCATTCGGCAGAGTCTCATAATGTGCATTCTATATCTTGACGGATCATGTTCTTCTTTTGAAGATATTTAATTCCTTTACCTGAGCTCAAGTCTCTACATTGTTCAGATACAAAAAACAATAAGAATTAAAACAACTTTATTAATCCTATATTTTTCCCTCAAGTAGGTCCCACGGATGCCGGAGAGATTAATAAAGGGACTCCATCTTGAATCAAGCCAATGTAAACATTTCTCCCAATGCTACCATGTTGCTATGACAGGGGCGGAGCCACAGGGGGGGCTGGGGGGGCTAAGCCCCCCCTGAAATTTTGGGAAAGTCGGTGATCGGGATAACCGGATATCCGGCTGCTGCAAAATGCTGCAGGCTGCCACCTTGTGCTGCCCTGCAGGCTGCCACCTTGTGCTGCCCTGCAGGCTGCCACTTTGTGCTGCTCTGCAGGCTGCCACCTTGTGTGCTGCCCTACAGGCTGCCACCTTGTGCTGCCCTGCAGGCTGCCACCTTGTGCTGCCCTGCAGGCTGCCACCTTGTGTGCTGCCCTGCAGGCTGCCACCTTGTGCTGCCCTGCAGGCTGCCACCTTGTGCTGCCCTGCAGGCTGCCACCTTGTGCTGCCCTGCAGGCTGCTTGAGCGGCAGCCTTTCGAACGTATCGAACTTATTAGCCACATCAGCGGCTCTGACCTATTAATAAACTCCGCGTTCAAATTCAATAAAATTTATTTTATACATTTGTGGCGCCCATTGGAAAACATAAACACTGGATATCTCAGAATATTCAAGTCAGCCCCCCCAAAGTCAAAATCCTGGCTCCGCCCCTGGGCTATGAAAATGAGAAAAATTATGACAGGGGCAGTCCCTCTCATGCAGATGTTTGGGCTTTTCCTGAATTTCAAAGTCGTTTTTTTGGTCTGGAAGAAAAGCTTCAATCAAAGACTACACAACAGTGTATTGAGACAAGTGGTGCTTACCAGATTTAAAATAACTGGTTATCTGATGACTGGACTCTGATGACAAAAAGGCCGCCAATCAGTAAGAGATATACATGGACATCTGTTTTACATAGGGCCACTACAATCACATTGCAGTGCTATTATGAAGCGCTTAATGAGGCCAATGAGCCCAAATGATAAAATCATTAACTCTTAAGTGAATTCCAAGAGCAAAGTGAAGATAGCTTTGAATTTCTTCCATGATTGGCTCCTAAAAGGCATCTATTTTGTAGATATCCAAATAATAAGCAATTCCCCTTTGCACCGACCTTATTAAGGACACCGTATTGTTTTGAACCGTCAATATATGAGAAACGTGTTAATATACGAGGCTGATAAAATCACGGGAAAATATTCTTCTGCATGTGGCACTATGGAAAGCCTGAAGTAACTTCACTCTCTGTCGAGAGACTCCTATGTCAGTGGTTGCATTTACATTTCCAAAACCCTATCATCTCATATTATCCAGAGCAAGTTGTGGGGTTCCATATATAACGTCTCAAGAGCTGGAGAACATTCTTAGATTTTAAGTCATACCCCTCGTTGATGACATGGTACAACCCAAGGTACAAATTGGTGCACGATGACAATGAACAAAAACACTCAACACATTCATCAATAAGACTGCCTTACAGAACACATAATAGGTGACGTTTTGGGCAATTTCCCTTCTTCAAAGCATCCTTCTTCATGTGCGATGAAGAAACTGGCCACTGCCCAAAGCGTATAGATTTTATTCTTTGAAGGCCACAGTGTTATTGACGATGGACATAGAGAGTTTTTTTGGTCCGTTGTACAAAATTGGAGTTTTCCACTTTTCCAGGAAATGGGTGAGATTAACCCGAGTGAACATTCTGCTTAAACAGAGATTTCCCAGGGGAATTATCAAGGATTTGTGTCCTGCTGAGGGAGTGACCTCTTTGAGGATCTATGTCTTCCTCTGCGTCTTGCCTACGATGCCACCCCTACAGCATTATTACCCATGTGAACATAGTGCCGACTTATTCTTGGTTATTTCGGTAAAGTCACGATTTTCTTGCTGTGGTTTTCAAGAAAATTTTCTTGCTGTGGTTTTCACACCTGATGATGATTGCTTGTGTTGCAGTCGAAACGTCGTGAGAATTTTATTGTTTTATATTTGTATTATTTTATTGTTTCCCTTCTACGTGACTTTACCGAAAGAACCAAGAATATGAATCCCTGCAGTCACGAAAGCTTTAAATCAAAATTTATAGTGCCGACCGTTCTAATTAATGGCATATTCTTGTGCCTGGCATCCGTGCATACAAACAAAAATATCTGGAGACCAGAGACCCAGGCACAAGAGAGACCTGGAGTAGGCATCATCCACTTTTAGGGTGAAGCCACATTCGGACACTGTCATCACGTGTGCAACCCCTGTGCACAATGGGCGGTTGGTGACACAGCCTCTTGATAGCACGTTCACCGCTTGTTGCAGATGTTCATGGTTCGTGTCCAGCAGCAGCCCTAGTTATTAGTGAGGGTGTATTAATCCAATAACTAATATTTAAAAAATACTTTTTTTTTAAAACACGCTTTTATGAAATGTACTAGTAATGGCAGAACTCCACGACTCCAGGAAGTGGCCCTGAAGCTTGCCATAACGTAAGGGGGACCGTGGCCAATTACAGCCAACGTCAGTTGAGCGTGGACAATTAGACCCAAGCCGAAACATAACATATAAAAAATAAAGTTTACAAATATATATATTTTTTGATAGAATATAGTATTGTCATCAGTATGACATAAGTATACCAAGTTTTCAGTCGATACCACATTGGGAAGTGAGTTAAAATTGCTTTACAAGATTTGAGGATACAACAACGATAACAGAGTGAGTTAAATAAAAGCGTGTAAAAATATACGCCCTCCGCTTCATAGTGGCCGTTAAAAGATCCAGTGAAGTAATTCAGCAACATGACGAGTCAATTACGTTCCTTAAATTGCTTGATCCACACCTAACACTTTAATATGTACAGGTGTCCCCATATAGAGCACAGAATTGGGTATACCAGCATCCTGAAGACCATCCACTTCTTTTTAACACTTTCCAACTAAGTTTAGAAAAGCGTTCAGGCATCAGCTCTGTCCATCTGTCTGTAGTGGGGGGGGGTCTCATAACTCTAACAAACACGATCCAATATGAGTACAATTTTAGGATAAAGATGTGTTGCTATCAGCTACTCGCCCTTTTGAAAGCCAGCTAAATGTATTAAATGGTCGCCTAAAACCTACCTTTACTAGCTGTCCTAGGAACACATTCTGCTGTGATTCCAACTTTGTCCCTCCGACATAGCTTTATTTATTTAGCCAACTTATTGTACATGACCTTGACATACTCATATTTATCCTGATCCCAACCTTGAAGCCTTCTCTATTAAGTTCTTATGACATTTCCTGCAGCTCATTCCCATTGGCAGTTCATCCACATTTTACGATGACTGTGATTTATGTTTCCCCAATTGAATCTTCAGAAAACATGAGAGTTGGAGAATGCACTTTACACCATGGGGCCTAATGAACAATACGTTTTAAAAATGTTTTCTCAAAATCAGTTTTGAAAATGTGATTATGAATAGTAATGTAATAGTAGCTATTGAGTAACAGATCAAGCTCTGCAATTACCAAATAAATGCATTGGTATTAAAGGTAAAATGAGAAAGTGTTGGTTGCACATTGTATTATGGGTAGAACGGTTGTATTGATGTCAATAAAACCATCATGCGCATAATCTACTTAGTGATGCATTCTTGGGCACAATTATCATTTCAGTAGGATTAGAGAAGATCTCAAGAAATAGGATAACCAGATGGTCGATGGGATCAAAGGGCATTACAACTGTTTTAAATTCCTGAACCTTGCAAGCAGGGTGGAGGAAGCAAGTTTTATTTGAGTGTCTTTTTCGCCCTTGCTGTTCAATGTTACTGAGAAATCACTTATTAGGTAAACAAATGTGTGTTCCTATTGCAGGTATACTATGTTTGAATGTAAAAATGGAAGGGGTCAGTCTAGCACTCAAATATGGTCAATTAGCACTCAATACAAGGCCACGTATCTGAACGTGTAAGGGACGCCTTGTATATCGGAGGCTTGGGTTCGATCCCGACCTTGATGCCTGTATAATTGGGATTTGCACGTTCTCCCTGTGCCTGCGTGGATTTTTCTCCGGGTCCCCCGGTTTTTCCGTCCACATTTAGAAGCGTGCGTTTAGAGTATTTGGCTGCTATAAATTTCCACGTGATGAGCCACTTCATTGAGCTATCATTTGTGGCCATGTGTTGAGTTTATGTGACCTTATCTTCGTTTCTGTTGGGATTGAGACCAGACAAAGAACAGAAAGGCACCTCATATTCCAACTGAATACCGTTTAGCCAGCAAGAATGAACACCTCACCTTCACCTAAAACTCATATTTATTCCTGAGCGCTAGATGAACCGTATCCCTTTTTAGGTGCATATGTAGCACAAACAGTTACCGAGTGGCAGCCAAGAGGAGAAGATGAGAATTATGCGGCGTGCAAGTGCTAGGTAGATTACAACATTGCAGAGCTATTGGTGATGGCAGCGGTTTGGGGAGGCCTTTATTCAGCTGTGGATTGATCATGGCAGTTGATGAATTTGTTTATAAGTTGCATTAAATTACACTGCACATGACATGGCGTCACATATAATTACGTCATGGCCCACAAATTGGAACGCAATGTCATACCGGTCAACCCATACGGTTTACCCGTATTATTGTACAGGGAAATTAAGTTTTCAGGCCGTTTCAATACAGGCAAAAAAAATATGTGTTTGTGTTTCTCCCTTGTGATGGCATTTTGTAGGATAAACGTTGAGATTTATAATGGCACGGGGTGGCCAATAAGGTCTGAATTGGTCTGTAATAAGGTAGGCACTTATAAGGGGTTGACAGGTATGTGATGCAAATTCTCTGGCTGAAATATTTTCAAATTAAGCATTGGTTATTTATCGCTAAGTTTACAGGCAGACAGATATAGTGACATAAGTAATGCATTAATGCTTTAAACCTGCGTTGAAAAGTGATAAAAACACAGTAATAGTACAAAGCAAACTCCAAAATACAGGTACTGCATACTTTAAATAGCATAGCATGTGGATAATCAGTTAAGGAAAAATGATTATACTTATCCCAAATGTAGCGTAAGGCATTCTTTGCCAGTTTTAAGTTCCAATGCCCTAATGAATGCGGAAAAAACACCATGCATATGCATGGATCATGTAATGCTCTCTATGATGCCTTTGTCCCCTGAAGTACTTAATCAGTGATGACAGAGGTGCTCATGCCAGGCCTGCGGGAAACAGAGCTCAGAAATGGCTCTTTTGTAGACGCCGTAGGCAATCCCTTTAATCAATTTGGCCAGATTTCAACAGAGGAAGTCCCTAATAGCAACACAACTTCATACTCAACTTTCGATCATATTGGATCACGTTAACGAGGCTGCGGTGAGACACGGGGCTCGTAATAGGCACTCCGTTGGGGCGGGCTGTGTGCACTGCAGCCAGCATCTCCGGGATGCCAGCCCGGGGGGGGGGGGTCTTTTGTACACTTTTTTTGTCTCCAAGTTTTGGGTAACCGATTGATCAGTTGGCTGGATTTAAAAGGGTAATTCCCTAATGGCAACACATCTTTAAATTAGAATTTAATTCATATCAGATCATCTTTACCAAAGTACTCTGCTGCCCCAACCCCTTACAACCCCCCCCACCACCCACCCACTTCACAAAGGCGCACCAAGACAAGGACTAAACTTATGCACACATACTATCATCCTTAGTTAAAATACATAAAAATAACAAACTCGCTGCTCGATCACCCAAAATTCTAGCCGCCCCGGACAAAGCGCATGTTAGTTCATCAGCACGGAGTGTTCAAACACGTTAACGGGATATTTCAAAGCTCATTGACCGTCTCATGCCGGGGGCACCTGAAGTGTTTTGTGCACTTACCTCTCGCATGCGCGCACAGTCCAAGCGGCAATGATCCACAGGGAAATGCTGAAGACGAGCAACACGGTGCCCGGGCAGATTGTCATGAGCGTCTTCATCACGAAACGCGTGTTGAAGGTGATCTTGTTTAACGCCCCAATGCTGCGCGATGACGCGTCGGTGAAGAGTTTGCTGTGCAGCAGCATGACGCGTGCGATCAGGTAGAGGCGCAGAAACATGGGGATGGAGAGCACAATGTCCACGTCAGCCTCCTTCACCGACGAGACGTAGGTGAAAGCTAAGCGGGCTGTCCACATGAACGTGTAGTTTCCCGGGATAGGATGGATGGCACATATGAGGAGCTCGAGGCCAATGTTGAAGATCCTCTGGTAGGTCATTGCAATTCGCCAGTCATCTGCACCATTGTCCACAATAAAGAGCTGCAGGAAGGGACACAAGGGCACTGTCATTGTAGGGGCCAGAGAGATATTCAATACTATTACAGTAATTGTAGGGTTTTTTTTTTTAATATACTATTCAACTTTCATCAAACTATTAGACATTCCCATTAGTGCAAGCTCCCAGGGAAATATCGATTGCTGTAAACACAACTGTCGATTCAAAAATAATAGCTTACTATTTTGCAGATTTTTCAGACCAGCACTTCGTTCAGAAAAAAGACGTTTTATAGATGGTAACACATTTCAATTACAGGATATATAGTGGGAACATATTCACATACAGTAGGTGTCACTCATACGTGCTGGAAATTGCCAGCTGCTGCATTTTGTTAATTTACAAAAGCAATGCACAGAAGCACAGATTAAATGCGGCGTGCCACCAGACAGAGCGCAGAGTGGGCACAAGTGGAATCCAGAGCCAGAGCTAACATGGTCAGGTTTGGCTCCAGATTTCACCCAGGCCCACACTGCTGCACTGTGCCACGTTGTGATGTCTTCCTAAAGGATGTGTGTGGAGAGGCATGCCACGATGTACAGAATGGAGTGTGCACGGATGGTATCTGGAGCCTGAAACAAGGCAAAATGTGAAATTTAATATCATAATAGGTTTTCACCCTTTTTATCTGGCAACAAAACTGATACTTTTTTTTACAATGGATCATGCTTGCATTAACCATAACACTTGCGGTCAAAATGCAAACAAAAAGACAACACTGATAATGTATACACTGTCCTTGAAATTGATTGGTCCACACCCGAGACAGCTTTCCTTAGAGCCTAGTCTCCACTGGTGTTGGACCAGATGACGCCAAAAGGCGCACAACTCAAAGACAACGCACCATCAGAGTATTAAGAGCTCAGGGTAAGCTTTTACATTATGAGACTTCCTTTGCCAGTAGCAAGACATAACATCAGTTTTGTTGCCAGATAAAAAGGTAAAAACCTATTATTATTATATCTTGCTACTGGCAAAGGAGGTATCATAATGTAACGTGAAATTTGTGGAATTATAGGTCTACTGCGCCTTCTGTAGGAGGCGTGGCACATTGGTATTTTTTTGTGACGGCAATATTTTCCACGTGTAACAAACTGCGCGGTATTCGCTCGCTCTCGAAGACGGAACATGACTCGGAGGCGCGAGGAAGAACCACAGATGAGCCTCAAATGCAACAGCCTGGGTGTGGAGCCAGTGGCGAATTTTGAAATCCTTGCGTGCCCTCACTCATGTGTTGAGAGACACTCAAGTTACCATGCGGAGGAGAGACAATGAGGTGTTTTCTCAAGGAAAAATCCCTTTTTTATAATTGGGCCTAGGGACAGGCAAAAGTAGTTTAATGTAAAATAGTATCTTGTAATAATAAAAGTATTACTGTATAAAGAATGCGTAGAAGTGGGGGAGATATTTTTTAAACAATGTTCAAATGAACACAACTACAGATAATCATACTGTATATTTACTGTTGCAGTATAGATACGTGCTATATCCTTGTAACGTATAAAACAATAAAATGTTGACCGGTTTAAGATATTAAACGAACGAAAAGATGTTCATTTTGGGTGACTTATCATTACTTAGGGGAAGTAACGTTCATGTGTTAAGATGTTGATTCTATCTGGAAGTGATTCCCATCAGATAATATGAGGGCGCAATTGGAGAAAACAGTAGGCTAAATATATAATTGTGGTAGAGGAATACTGGTAGATGTACAATGATTTTTGTTCTGGTAAACTATCAGCAGGTGACATTGGGGTGTACTAACTGTCACTGCCGCGGTATGTGGAGCAAAAGCCGATGAGAGGCTGAAAAAGGAGGTGGATGAGGTGATGACTTCTGAGCATGTCATCAGGGGCCATCGGGCCATGCAACAGGATTTTAAAAGTCCTTCACTGATTGACATGGAGAGGGTCATGTGACTCTCTGCTCGTATTCGGGGCTCCCAAAAGACCCCATCTTAAACCTGCGAATATGGCTGATAACAGAGCAACTGTGTTCTCATTGCAGAGACAGTGCTCCAATCATTGAAACTTCCAAGGAAGTTGTATCACTGTCCTTCTGTGTGGACTCAAATAAAAAATAGTTTAATTCCCTTCACCTATTATGGATATCCGAAACAACATCATTGACCAGTGCTTAAAATACTTGGGTTTACTGATTGATTTCAACACTTACATTACAACCCCATATTGCTGACATCCAAATAAAATAAAGGTTTTTTTTTAATTGCACCTGCAAATTGTTGAAGCTATCATTCTCCCACTGTGTGATTACTCTGAGGCTGTTTACATATCAGCTACGAATCAAACACTAAACAGACTAAACCTGTACTCTAGATTGAGGCTAAACCCGCTTTATCATTCTGCTCTTTGATTTGCAGTGGATACACCAATCCAGGAACCCAACATTGTGACCTCAACTTAATATCCAACCTTACATCACTTGACGCAAGAAGACTCTGGGCGCTGTTCATCCATAAAATCCTTCTTTGCAAATCTGCGCGACACTTGGCTAATTCATGAACCCCATAGTCAAATCCAAGACACCTAAGATGTCCATCTAATTGCCTTTTAACAATCCCAAAAGGAAGAATTGCAACGTGACAAAAATACAGCAGGCAAACTGCTGAGGCAGTTTAAATATTTCTCCTGCCTCAGCAGTTCTCCTGCAGTAGTTTTTCACCTGAAGACGACTGCTCGTGTTGCGATCGAAACGTCGTGATTTTGTTGTTATTTTTTTTTCTAGCTACGTGACTTTACCGAAAGACCCAAAGAGTGTGAAATCCTGCAGTCACGAAAGCTTTAAGTCAAGATTACGTGACAATGCCTTTGCCATTGCAGCACCGGCGTTTTGAAACAACCTCGTTTCCTTCCCTTCACATTGTAAATCTTCCTCCATAAATGTACGGAAGCAGAAGATCAGTGCTGGATACAGCCACGTGCATCGATCGCTACATTTTATTGCGCAATCTTCATTGAGGGATAGTTTGTTGTGTTGGTGTGGTCTGGGACTGTTTTTGTTGTTTTTGCTGCTGTGCCCAAGATAGCATTTGTGTTGAAATATTGCCATGAATTGATGTACTTATGCAATTTGTACTTATATATATGATTTACTTTCAGTGATCTGTTTGCTTTTCCTAAACTTTTCACTGCTATCGTTTATTGTTTTAATGTTGTTGTAACTTTATGATCTGCCCCTACTGGACATCTGTGAAAAATAGCTTCATAGCTCATCGGATATCCCCAGGATACAAAACAATTCTGATTCTGAGTGGAGTGTGTCTCGTATAAATAGGCTTTATGTTAACTTATCTCATGGTGGTCTTGAGTCCTGTTGTTCATGCCTTTTTTATTTTAAACATGATATTAAAGGCTCTTGGTCTTGTGTCCACCCTTCTTGCAGATCAGACCCTTACACACCCAGAGCTGAAAATCGTTCCACTCTGCTGGGTTTTTTTTTCCTACTATACAATAAAACCTTGGATTGCGAGTAACTTGGTCTGCGAGTGTTTTTCAAGACGAGCAAATATTTTAAAATAAATATTAATTTGATAAACGAGCGAGGTCTTGCAATACGAGTAGTACGTGTACGCTTTGTCTGCCGAGCGTCACGTGATCACAACTGATATACGAGTGCTTTGGATTACAAACACATTTCCGGAACGAATTATGCTCGCAATCCAAGGTTTTACTGTACTTGACCATACCGGTCAGTGAAGGGAGGGGCACAGGGCCATTTCAGATGACACTCACCGCTAATGTTAGCCATTGCAAATAATTAAACTCGGGTCACCAGGTTCATAGTGGGGTGTGCCGATCACTGCACCACTTTGACAAATGTTTAGATTAATGATACTGGTAGGAACCTCCTGGTTACACCAGCCCACAGGGGATTATTGCGTCCGTCCATCCGTCGTGCATCCAAAAATGGGAGGGGTGGGGCAGGGTGGAGAGGGGAGGGTGGGGAGGGGCTGGTCACCCCGTGGTGCCCTTATAAAACTCAACGTTTAACCTACTCATGCCAGCTTGTGCCCGTCCTCACAGTCGGGCATATTTGCGGAATACACCACGTGGTGCCGCTGCTGACCCTGGCCATTGACCGAGCAACCCAACGTTCCTACCAGCTCCCTCCGCAGGAATGTGTTTCAATTTCGATTTCAAGCTTTCGTGACTGCAGGGATTCATATTCTTGGTTCTTTGGGTAAAGTCACGTAGAAGGGAAATAATAAAAGAATAAAAATAATAAAATAAAATTCTCACGACGTTTCGGGCCACAACGCAAGCAGCCGTCCTCAGGTGAAGAACAGAGCTGTCGGAAAGACAGCGTCCTAATGTCTAATAAAGACAACGTCCTAATGTACGGTGCGAAAGAAGTTCAAACCTACATGAAGACTTGACAGCTCAGCAACACATTGTGACGTAGGTGGCAGAATAACCAAGGGATGTTTTCAAGCGATGGAATTCCAGGTGTTGGGGGACATCAGAACAGAACACACCGGTGTTTTGAGACAGCTCTGTTCTTCACCTGAGGACGGCTGCTTGCGTTGTGGCCGAAACGTCGTGAGAATTTTATTTTATCATGTTTTATTTTTATTATTTTATTATTTCCCTTCTACGTGACATTCACCGAAAGAACCAAGAATATTAATGATTCAGTTCACGTACTACAGAATTTTACCTTTTCGTGATAATTTTGGCAAAAAATGAATCGAAGAGAATCTGAAATTCAGCTGAGCTTTTGAATCGAACATCGAATGTGATCAAATCCTTCAATCTATACATGCTCACTGGGCTTTCAGACCTCGACAGTCTGGGCTTCACAAAGTGCCCTGTAGAGAATTGTGAATGTTCTCCATAGGCCGCTTCAACAAAGACAATGGTAAAAAAAGGTCACTTCCCGTCAGATCACTCAAACAGAACAAAATTCTACCACCTCCGAATCTTGATGAAATTGACAGTCGTAGGTTCCACAGAGAGATATGAAG